TTTAATAAAAATAAATATCAGTAATCCCCACTGGCCACCTGCCTCGCCTTTGTATATTTAATTAAAATAATTTGGGGGGGGGGCAGGATGATCAAAAAGTTCAGTGAGCTTTCTTTTGAAAATGAACTGAGAATACGTTTACCTCTAGGAACAAGAATACCAGTTTTCTGCGTCAGAACTACGATTTTGGCATCCCTCCTTCCTCTCGAGAAAACCACCACTACACAATTGAATTCCCCCAGAAAATAGGAGCTAAAAGGAGGACAGCTCATCCTTAAATAAGCTGGTCTGGGCCAGTTCCCGAAACCAAGTGACCTCATTGATACTGAATACAGTTTGTCTTTACAGCCATAAGACTGGAATTGTATTCACGTTTAACAACATCATTAGAATTCACAATGTTGTCTGTTTACTAGGGGGAGAACAAAAAAAATAATCAATTGGCTATTAGTTAGGAATACCAAGCACAGAAAAAAATGAAGCCACCTTTTAAAATAAACTGCATTAAGATAAAATAGAGTACCCTTAATGAAGGGAAAATCTCTCTCTCATATTTAAATTTATTTTCAAATCACCATTTAAATGATCATATCTTACATCATGTCCTTTTAGGAGCCAGAAGTTAGACAATATGAATCATTTACATTCAGTTTTGGAAGGCTGTGTCAGAAATCAACAAAAGAAGCCTTCACTATGAATTAACTCTCACAAGATTCTTAGAAAGCAACACTAGCATGAATTAAGGGTAATTAGAAGTTTCATCCCTAATTTTGAGCTTCCTGGCACTTTCCTTTTATGCCTCAAACCTACTATGGACACTTTCCCCCGCCCCAATCATTACAGATATATGAGGTCTCAAAATATAACACAAGAAGAAAAGATGCAACACCACATAAACAAAAGCTTTAAAATGTTGGTATCTTAGGTTATCTTTTTAAAAAGTACAAGAGAAAAATCACCATATGGTACTATACCTTAATCTCAAATTAAAGTTACTTTACAGAATATGCATCTATAATGAATTTAAGAAGATCTAAAATCAATAAATTTCTTAAAGGGTTATTGAATATCTATAATTTACATAGCCCCCTTTTTGTACATTTTATCAAATGAAGAAAAAATGATTTGCTACGAGATTTAAATATTATCTAAAATGAAACTTGATGAACATTTTCATTTTGGGTGAACAAAGTTATCCTTTAATGTAAGGTTTACATTACATTACATAGATTGTGGTGTGGAAAAACTATAGAAGTGCAAAACTGCTCCAGCAATATTTGCAAATGATCCCAAATATTCTAAACACATGTTGCCCAATCAATGACTGTAAATTCCAGTTACACTTAAGTGCTCTGATAAAGTTTGACTGAGTCAAGGACCCGAGGTCACCCTATATGAAGACTTCATTGTTCCAAAAGATAGCCCCAAACCAACCATGATAACACCATTTTCCTGCTAAATTCCATGCCATTCAGATAATTCCCCGGGAGTGCACTATAGTAGTTAAATAGGCGGTATACACCTGGGTAACAAATTAAATAATTCTAAAAACTACTTTTGTCTATTCTTTGTTTACAAAAGGAATTGAAGGCTACACAATATAAACAAGACAAAACACAGGGTAAATTTTTTCAACAATCCATCAAACCACTGAAACTCCTTTTTCTGCAAGAAGGAAATATATGCTTGTGGGCAAGTCTGTACATGCCATTTAGCTCAAGATCAGTTGATATCAACCTGTTGAAGAGAAACTCCTCTCAAAATTATAATAAGAATTCTTTGCTCTCTAAAACTTTTATTCTTTTTAACAAGAGGCCTAACAGTTCTCTACATCCATAGTGATTCAGAGGTTAACTTCACTCACTGTATCTCACAAACTTTAACCCTTTTCTTCCTAAACCAGAACAAATACGACTCAGAAGAGCATAATTCAGGGATTTGTTGTTATTCTTTTCATATTTCTGAGCCAATCTACACAGGAACAAACAAGCTGGATTGAAGTTCATATCATGGGGAAAGAAAAGTCATCTGCTGAGAGACTGTTAGCTACAATCTTTTAGACTCTGGGACAAATACCAATAAATTAATTATCCACCCTCTAAGGAACATACAATAACCAAAGAATTTCCATCTCATTCAGTCACATACAGCCCAGGGAATGTCATGCAGTTTTTTTCCTGATTCACCATTGCATCACATGCTCTTCTTAAAGTGCAAAGCAAGTCTCCCCAGGGAACTGTAGAGGCATAAGCAAAGCTATGGAGGAAAGAAGAAAAAAGGGGAAGCTACTGATTCCAATGGGAGCAGCTGGGTGCTCAGCATTCCTTAAAATCATGCCACTTAGGCCCCAATCCCACAAGGAGTTCTATGCTGGCAGGCCCTTGTGACTACACAAAGCTCCAGCAAAATCCATGTGGCTCCACGTGGGTGAAGGCTCTGACCACATGCTGCTCATTGCAGGTCTAGAGCTTTATTTAGGCACCTACATAGTGATTTAGGAGCCTAATTTTAGGTGTCCTTTTTTTAAAAAAAATCTTGGCATTTTTTTCTTACATGCAGGGAAACATTTTCAAAGAGCTCTGCTGGGGTTGGGAAGGGAAGAGACTAATATTCACTATATTCAACAGGTGAATGAAGATCCCCGGAAAGACAAATGACCATCAATATAAACATTGATGTATAGAAGCCAGACAAAGAGACAACAAAATGCACTGCCGTATAGAAGCCAGACAACCATATCCCTATAGTCTGGGTGGCATCTCAGTGATGCCAACACACAAACAAGGAAATACATCAAACTAGCCATGTTTGAAAACTTCTAACCATTGTTTGTCAAAAAGAAATAAAATTTTCTGCATCTAAGGCATATGTTACAAACATTTGCAGTTAAAAAATAAAAACGATAAGAATACTTGATCACCACATCACAAGGATGGGGCTGAGGGAAACAGGGGCACACACGGTTCGGTTAATCACTTATTTCCCCAAGAAGTCAAATTTATTTGTAAAAAAAATCAAGTTCTCATCTTTGGAAGACACAGGATTTCCCCCTCCCCCCCCAAAAAATAAACCACAAAAGTAGAGTTGGAGGAAAATTAAATATTGCTTTACGGCCCAATGTTACGTTCCCTTCACACCCAAAACTCAACTGGGCAAGAAACTCAGAATCACACCCATGGTTACAAAAAAACCTTATGACATGTTCGTGCTTTGGGCAAGTGTGGTGTGGTTACGTTAGTACATACAAGTACACCACTTACCAAGCTGATGTCAGAGGGGTTTCTTTCTATAACAAATCAGCACTTAAATAACTTCTGAACTGCAGTACCCAATCAGCTTTTCTCAAAATATTTACTGGGGGAAGGGAGAGATATTCTATCACTTTCTAATACAGAAAAAAAAAAAAACTACTATGCATGTTGAAACCAGAGCTCAGATAGACAAATGTCTGTTAGCTTGTGTGTTATCAGTCAGAGTAAAGTGATTGCCACTTAAACCTAGCATGATTTTCTATTGTTTCAAATTTGTTCAGCTTAGTTTTTAAAATAGGTTGCTCTAAGTACTTAACCAAAATGAAATTTACATCTCCTATTGTCAGAGAGTTAACCCAACAAGGAATGCACTAATTAATTCAAAAGTATTATCAGGTAAGTCAGCTAACAATGTACCAACTGCAATAATTAATAGGGGAGTTTAAAGTCATACACACACCCTTTTTCTTTTAAGGAGGGCTCAGATGATGCAAACTTTGTAGGCACAAAGATTACAGAAAAGTAATTATTAAATGGGTTAGCCTGAGGGAGGTGTCAAAGGTCAGGCTCTAATCAATCTTCCTATCTTACTCAGACCTGTTGAGCTGTATGGTTTTCCACCTTTTGCAAACAGAAACAGTCAAATTACTTCATTTCTACTTTTAAAATTTGACTTGTATAGCGAGGAGAGGCATGCTGTTTCTCCATCATCCAAGAGGGATGAAGTTCACCCTCTTAAAACAAACCTAAATGTTTGCCGAAGACATACCAAAATGGCTTATTTAGAGACATGTAATGGTAGTTTGATAGTGGTAACTTCTCTTACTAATAAAAGAAAACCATGTTCTGTTATAGCCAATTACTCCCTCCCCCCCCCCCATTCCCTTACATCTGTACATAATAATTATTGACTTCTTCAAACCTTAACCTCTTTAATAACTGCATGGTTGCTCACTATTAATCATATTGGTAACTGCTACTCCTTGCAAAGTCATGCAATCTCAGATTTGCTTGTTCCACTTACTGAACACTGTATAAAGTACACTGTTTTCACACCCACATGGGCAGTCTCTTATTTCTCACTATCCTCCTTTGCCTTTGTCCTTTTTTTTTGTTTTTTTTTTTTTTAAATTCATGCACTTGTCAAACAGGTTATTCTAGGAATTCTGATTTTACCATCTTCAGACAAATAATCTGTCCAGCTATGGTTGCCCCCTATCACTCATGCCCTGTATATTGTGCATAACAGAGTAGCATATGATGCAGCACCACTTAGCCTAGAATTTGCATCTTAAGCATTTTGAAAGGTTTTCAGCAAAGAACATTGGTCACAATTTTAAGTAAGGTCGATGCTTTGTTTAAAGTAAACACAAAAGCACTACCTACCATTAAAACATATTTGATTTTTCAATTAGCACACACATCTACTTATATGGACCCCCATAACCACAGTACCTTGGAGTGATCTTTTGTTTTGTTCTTTATCTTATAAAATAAATCAGGAAGATCTTAGACCCTGTCAGGATAGGTAACTCTGAGAAAGTAATTTATGCCCCTTTTCTAAACACCAGTAGTGTCATCTGGAAAGGTAGATGCCAGTTGGTCACAAACAACAAGAAGAGATTTTTTTTTAAATTGGGCTTAACTTTTGTATGCAGAATAAGGTGGCCTGCCATCAGATGTGCAGTAAACAAAGCAGGGAAGTAGGTGCTATGCAAAAAGATAAAGGAGAGAAATTCTGACACAAACCTTATAGACTTGCCCATATGTACCATTACCAACTACTTCCACCAGCTCAAAAATCCCAGCTGGGTCCTACAAAGAAAAAAGAGGGGCGGGGGGGGAGAGAAGTAGGGTTACATTTTGAAAGCACTCGCTAATGGCAGAGAGTCTTGTAAAACGGGGTCTGGAGCTAGAGAGGATGTTGGCTGTGCAGCTGTTGCGCCCTGTTTTTCCATGCACATGCCAATACATGCAAACAAAGGAAAGCAGCCCAGGGCTGAACTCTCCCCCCCCCCCCCCACCTCAACCACCCCCCAAGTAGCTCCCACTCCGGGAGGGGGGGCAAGGGAGCAGCCAGACTGGCCAACAAAGTGCCCCTCCTGGGCGGCAGCTGCCCCCAAAGCCGATTGCAAACCCAGCAGCTCCTTCCCACCCCCAGCCCAGCCCAGCGCTCTCTGTGCTCGCAGTAACAAAAGCCCTTCCAGGAGCCAGGCGAGGGGAGCGCTGCCCCCTTTGTGTGCGGAAGAGGGGGGCGGTGGGGGGCAGCCCAACGCACTCACCCGCAGGGAGGAAAGGTCGATGTCCACCAGACTTTTTGCAGGAGAATCGTTCGCCATCTTCCCGTCTTTTCTTTTCTTTTTTTCCTTTTTTTTTGGGGGGGGGGGGTTAATAATCAAAACCTGGGAATTGCAAGAGCTGCTCTACCGCCTCCTGCCCGCTTCAGCCGGGGGGCACCTCTGCTGCATGGGGCGGCCGGCTGGCCGGGGGGGAAGAGGCAGCTGTGGGCGCTGGTTTGTTTCCCGGCGAGGAGTGGGGTTGGGTGGGTTTTTCCTCCCCGCTCTCCAGCCTCTCTTCGGCGGGTGCTGCGAGTCGGTGTCGGAAGCGGATTTACACCATGTTGAGGTGGCAGCAGCAGCGGCGGCAGCTCCCAGCCGGTCTCTCCCCTGCACGCCCAGGCACGGGCATTACACACCCAGCGCGAGCCAAACTCCAGCAGCCCCGCTCCGGCATAGGGGGCTCGCAGCCACCCAGCGCGCTAACAATGAGAGAGAGATCCGCGGGTCCCTCCTCTTCCTCTCCGGGGGCTGCTGGGCTCCTGCACCCGGGGCACAAGGCACTGGCAGGGGGGCTCCCGACCTGCAGCGCTGCTGGGCTGAGTTGAGGGAGTGAGACAAAGATAACCCAGGGAGGAGGAGAAAAGGGATACAAAATAGATTGTGGGCAGAGAGAAAACAGCTCCCCCTTTCCTTCTCCGGCAGGAAAAACCAGCGGAAACACACAACACCCCAAAGCACTTCTGGGAAAAAAAATCCTCGCTCCTCTCCCAGCCGCCGTGTGTGTGTCTAAGCGCCTAGCTCAATATATTCAACAGGGGTGTGGCAGAGAACAATAGATAACTAACTCCGGCCTCACTCAGCGCTGCTAAAGTCCCTGCCCTGCCTTAGTGCCCAGGCGATGGCTGGAGACACACATTACACCCACCACCCACCCCTAGTAACAATACACGCTCCATGCGCGTGTTAGGCACAGAGCTAGATATGGAAACAGTCCAGCATAGTCTAGAGCAAATCCCAAAGGCTAGAGGAAGAAGAAGAAAAGCCGAGGAATACACAGTTAAAGGTGAAAGGCTCACGATATTCTGCAGCACTAAGGGACACCTCAGGATTAATCACGGTATTTGCACTTTGAACATGCAAAACACTGTGTAAGTGAGAAGCATTATTATTTGTTATAAGTCATACCTTTTCATCAGTCTAACTCAATATTCTTCAGCATAATGGAAGGATCAAAGAAATTAACCCCTTGACTGCCACCGGCAGCGCTGATTCAGGGACCACAAAGGTTGGCTGGGTTGCTCAGACTGTGAAAATGTTTCTTGTATGTGTAGTTATGCTACTTTTACTAAGTGACAAAAGGGCATCTAGGAAACATGATCTATTAACACCCTTACCTGTACATTTCTAGGTTTTTATTGTTCCCTGTAAAAAAAGGAATTATTCAAAATCACCATTGTTACACCACCAACATGGTTCCAGTTGACTATCAGTAAAGGGTAAAGAGTGGTATTGCAATGGATTTGCTAAAAACAAAAAAGCATTCAATCTGCATTAATCTACCCTGAGACCTTCATGCTATGTAGAGGTGATGCCTTCCAACCACTGACCCACCTCCAAACCATCCTGCATCCCAATGACTTTAACAGAAGTAGAAGGCAAACAATAGCTTCCAGAATCAGGCCCTACAAGCCTGTAAGGGTGCTTTTAGCAAATCCATTACTGACACATCCATAATTCTGGCTTAGGCCCCATTCCTGCAAAAGACATACTGATGGGCATATATTTGTTCACATGAGTCGTCTCATTGACTTCATTTGAACTGTTTACATAGGTCACACACATGCACAAATCTTTGCAAGATTGAGCTCCTAATGAAGTTATTTGCCATATCAAAACAGCAAAGTTAACATCACTATATACAATAATAAAAAATGCTACCTAGCTGCAAGAATGTTGAGTTACACTTGCTGTCAGCACCTGTCTTTTTGCCTTTAAAACTTTTATATTGCGTAAACATAGTTTCAAGTATTTGATTTAAGTTTATGGTAAATTCAAGATTTCCTACATGGAAATATTAAAAAAAAAAAAAAGAAACCTGTTGAGGAGTAAGAGTTTAAAAATTATCTTCAAAGTTTAGTATTTCTGTTTTACCAAAAGCATAACTAGAGAAACAGCAAATTTAGGCCTGGATCATACTACATCTGCATAGACAGAACCCCAGGTCCTTGCAAAGACCCATTGACTTCAGTGGGACTTCAGTGAAGGGATCGGGCTGCATGAATGCAATTACAGGATCCGGGCCTGACATTATGCAAAATTTACAAGTATATTTTTACCCAGACATATTGATAAGAGATTTCTTAATTTACACCATTGTGAGTGCTTCATCCTTTTATGCCCTAATGCTTACACAGATTTACAGGTTCTACAGAGCTGGCACAGATTCTAGTGCTTGAAGTTGAGTGTTTGTCTGCAGCCAAAGTCTTCGTCAGGATAGGACCTAAGTCCTTAGGGAAAGGGCCCGAGTGTTCTTTTCTATGTAGAAAGCACCTAACCCATTCTTGGTGCTATTGGAAAATAAAATAAAATAAAGTTACTAAGGAGTTTGCACATTAAGCCTAAACATACCATTTCACCGTGTTAGTCCAGTTAGACTTTGTCATTGTAGCACCTGCATGGATTCTTGAAGATTACATTTTATCCCGGAGGGGGACGGGGGAGAGAATTGCGTGTTTGACCACTCTGTTCAGTGCTAGGATATTAGTCAAACAAGGCAAAAGTGCAAATAAGACTCTGTACCTGGCATTTTACAAAAGTCAGTGTTTTGTCTGAGTGTTTGTAAACCCCCACAAGTCCCGGAAGACCTCCCAGAAAGAGCCCAGCATGAATCATCCCTCTCACTCATGCCCACTAGCCAGCCCTTCTTCTCACACAAAGGGGTAGTTGAAAGGAGAGGGAGGAGTGTTGCTTGCCTTCCAACCCCCCCCACCTGTGCACACCTCTCTGACCCCCACCAAAACTATGTGCTGGACACAGCAGGTTTTTCATATAGAAAATTTAATCCTGCAGGTGAAAATTAAAGGCCAAACCCTACACTCTTAAAATAAAAAGCATTCAGAAGAGGACTGGCAACTCAGGAAACTCCTCAAGGTTCCTTGGAATGCTTCCCTCAGATATATGGGAATTCCTGGATAAGACAAGAGGCACAGCCTCTGGGCACCACACCTGGTGGTTTTCAGGGAAAGAAAAGCTTCAGCTCACTGGATCTCATCTCTTGGGCAGCGATCGCTAACCTTGATCTTCTAATGACTGATGGAGTCCAAATGTCACAGATTGGAGAGTTTCCGTAGGTGCAGAGGGGAGAGAAGAGAATGTTGCAGATTCAGTGTCCTTTCTGTGTCCTCCAGACCTAGGTCTACCAGCTTCTGCTCCACTCTGACCATATTAACAGGGGGGAATATATAGCTCCATGCCTAAATGTCACTGTCAAATTGTTTAGGCCCAGTATGTATGGTTTATGAATGAGAGGTTGTTGTTGTTGGTTTTTTTAAAGACTGATATGAATAGAAATGTTTTAATTAATTACTCTTTACATTTAATTAAAACCATTTTTTAAGTCAAAATTTCTCCTGCAGTGATGGAAACCCAAACACAATAGCATTGTGCTGGGGAATGAGAAGGAGAGAGTGAAACTGACTATACACAGAATATGAAATTGACCAGGCTGGTTCCCCTGTCCAAGCAGATTGAAATACAAAAGGTAAGAAAAATCAGAAAAACATGAAGAGTGCTTTTGATTTTGAAATTCTAATAACTGAGGATGTTATTAGTAAAACAGGTAAGCACCTTTAAAAAAAAAAAAAAAAAAACAAGGGCCAGAACCTCAGGTACCTTGCAGGCACTTTGCACTTTGTTGGTGATAAAATTTGGCCTTAAACATGGTTTGAACAGCCCAGAAAGGATCATCCCGGTGCATGGATGATTCTGCAGTGAAAGCCAGGCAGTGTACTTGTAGCCATGTCAGTCCCAGGATATTACAGAGACAAGGTGGGTGAGGTCATCTCTTTTACTGTGGCTTTCACCAGCTTAAGTTGGTCCAACAAAAGATATTACCTCATCCACTTTGTCTCTCTAATGCTAGAGTACGACATATATCCTCCTGCTATTGCCATAGCAGAGAAGGGTGATGTAATTGCAGAAAAGGAGGCATAGGTAGGACACATCATCGCTACACCATGTTGAGCCTAGGCTGCATTTTTGGACCCCTGTGTTTGTTAAAGGTCAGTATAAGTTAGAGAAGTCTAAGAGCTTTTCAAACACACTGAAATGGGAAAGGTATGAAAACAGTATAAATGGTGACTTGGGTGTGTTTCAGCCATACCCAAAGATTTGCCCCAGGATTTTTATAATTACCATGCTCTTTTGACACTATGGTATCACTATGTTAGAATATAAAGTAAACGCCACTAATAAAATTTACAGATAGACTAACCTGCTCTTTTAAATAATAAAGAAACAAATTTCTCACTCTCTCCCAACCTATACTGCATTGGGCCTGATCGCATTCCTAATGAATTAAATGCTATTTACTTCATTCAGAGCAGGATTGGGCCCTCTCAATGGATCAGATCCTCTGGTCTGGCCAAGTTGCTCTCAACATAAGACCCAGAGGGAGGAAAAGGTGACCTTAAGCTACGTATGCTGCCTCTGAATTCTTGAACCGATCTTTGTCCCAGACCCCATGAGCAAATTACAGCAGCCAGAGGGCTAATGTAAGCTGACTGCCCATAGCCAGATGCTGAAGACTTAGGTTGCTAAAAAGTTCACACAAGTATCCCACCTTTCCCCCCAACCCTTTTGAGATGCTGCCTGCCCCTTCTCTCTGTCCTCCTGGCTGACCAAAATGCCAGACTCCTGCCTACAAGTAGCAAATGTAGAGTTGCCAATGGTGAGGAATGGTAACTCAGTAACCTCACGCCTTCTTGTCAGCTGTCTGAAATGGACCACTCTCATTACCACTTCAAAAGTTATCTTTCCTCCCTTGGTATCCTGCTGTTAAGTGAATTGTCTCGTTAGACTGACCTCACACTTGGTAAGGCAACTCCCAACCTTTCATGTATTTATACCTGCTCCTGTATTTTCCACTTCATGCATCTGATGAAGTGGGTTCTAGCCCATGAAAGCTTATGCCCAAATAAATTTGTTAGTCTCTAAGGTGCCACAAGGACTCCTCGTTGTTTTAGTCTGTGAAAGAAGCTTATTGGAACATCTTTGGGGGTGATATATTAGTTGTAATTAGTTTCTTAATGTATTAGGCTTAGACTTGCGTGTTTTTGCTTTATTTTGCTTGGTGACTTAATTACTTTAAACAACTTAAATCCTACTTTTTATACTTAATAAAATCACTTTTGTTTATTAATAAACCCAGAGTAAGTGATTAATACCTGGGGGTGCAAACAGCTGTGCATCTCTCTCTATCAGTGTTATAGAGGGTGGACAATTTATGAGTTTACCCTGTATAAGCTTTATACAGAGTAAAACGGATTTATTTGGGGTTCAGGCTCCCAGAAAGGCTGAACAGTGGGCGCTGGGAAAGTCCCTGTTAACTGAGAAGCCCCTGGGCTGAGTGAATCTCCGTTTCAGTAAACTGCAGATAGGTGTGGCCCAACCTCTGGGTCTGTGCTGGAGCTGACTGGAGTGTCTAACTCAGCAAGGCAGGAGTGGAGGGGCTCCTCTTTTGGCAGGAGGGTTGTTCTCAGTGGTATTCCTGCTCATCAAGTGACAGTCTCAAGGGAAGTCTCTGTGACCGAATCCATCACAACCGTAAATGGCCTCCAGGAGGTGTCCCACAATGCCCATCCTGACCACTCTGGTCAGTAGTTCAAACTCCACTGCCCTGCACCCAAATACACTCCCCCTTTAAAGGCCCAGGAATTTTTGAAATTCCACTTTCTGTTTGCTTGATGTGGACAGTTCACATCGCATCTTCCCAGCTGACCATGGCGGCTCCACACAGCAAACGCTGTCCCGTTTGGAGCACACCAGAGTTGTTGGATCTGCTGGCACAGTGGGGAGAGGAGGCTGGGCAGTCCCAGCTCCACTCCAGCTGTAGGAACTTCGATACCTATGGTCAGATTTCTCATAGCTTGTTGGATAAGGGTTATGAATGGAACAGGCAGCCGTGCCATGCAAAGATAAAGGAGCTGAGGCAGGTGTACCAGAAGGGAGGTGTGATGGGACAGCCCTGCCCCGCACTAGCCCCAGCGGCATCAGATCAGTAGCTCTGACAGAGGAAGTCCCGCCCCGTTCGTACTGGGCATGCGCCAAATGCTTTGGGAGTATAAAAGGAGGGAATTCAGTTCAGTCTGGGCTGGTGGCCACAGAGGAAAGACCTAACTGGGAAGCGCATGCGGAGGACCAGCCAACACTCTGGAAGCTGCTGGAAACGGAGGCTTCTACAGGCCGGCATGAACCCCTACTGCAGGAGGAACCAGGGGAGGCAACGGACCCGGAGACCCGCGGAGAACCTTGGGATTTGTGGGAGACCCCAACTCCCAAGCCGGTAGGAAGCGACCTGGGGGGAGTGATGGACTGGTACCTTGCCCCAGTGAACCTCAGCGTGTTTTGGTAGGGCCCCCCTGCTGAGCCAGTAGTAAGGTCCTGCTGCCTTGCAATGAGGGCTACTTCTATGAATTTTGGCCACTAGGCTGTGCTGCCCTGTAACGAGGGGTGTAAACGCTCACAGGAGGCAAACCATCACTCTGATGCTGTGCTGAAGACCTGCTGCTTCTATAAGGACCTGGACACCATCCTTGGTAGCAACCCTACCTCCACCACCAAGAGCCCCATGGATACTTTGGCGGGGCTGGACCCTGAGGACAAAGTCGTGGACGAGGAGGTTGAGTTGGAGGACGATGTGGAGCACACAGCAGGGTCATCCGGTGGCACAGCAAGTCAGGACCTCTTCTCCTCACCAGAGGGGTCTAGCCAGTCCCAGTAGTCCTTCTCCGGCGCTCATGATGCAGGAGAGGAGAGCCCTGGTAAGTGATCTTTTTGAGTTGCTGCTGCTCAGTTATATGAGGTAGAGCTGTCCCTTTGCTCTGTACAGTCTAGAAGTGAGTAAAGGGATAGAAATATACAATACTAGCTGTGTTTGAGTGTGTTCCACATTCCCCTGTGCAGCTTAGCAGTGTGGCAAAACAGCGTGTTAATGCACACCAAGATTTCATGGAAATCCTCTAGGGAGATCTCTAAGAAACTTTCTGGAGGTACTTGCCAATCCTCTACTGAAGGTTCCTTGGCAGAGCTACTTTGTTCCTTCCCCCATTGTAGGAAACTTTCCCACGCCATTTGGCAATCACTTGTGCAGGGACCAAAGCGGCACACAGACGAGCAGCATAGGACCAGGTCTCAAGCCGCATGCATGCAGTAGATGCACCCTTGCATCCTTGCTTACTCTCATGAGTGAGATACCCGCTTCAATGAATCCCCCTTTGGAAAATGATGGCAGAATTTATAATATTGTCCCTAGTCGCTTGCACCAATCCCTTTAGAAAAAACATCTACACTCTTTGCCCCATCTTAAATGCCCAACCCCCACCTGGGTCAAACTGACCATGTTTAGAGTGGTCACCGAGGTGTGTGCTTGCCAAGGGACAGTGAGAAAGTGGTTGCTATGTTAAAAGGTACATTTTACTGTAATGATTCAATGTTGTGCATGAACTAACAATCATGCTTCTGTGTATGGTTTCTTGTGCTTCTGTTGATGTGGCCTTCAGGGCCCCTACACATAGGTGGAGTGCCTCTGCCAGATAAGGAAGAGACCAAGTGTAGCAAGGAGGTCATTTTCTGAGAGGTGCTGCAATTCTCAGAGGCTAAAAAAAGAAACCCTGAAGGAAAAATTTAAAATAGAAAGGCAGGACAGAAAGATAAATGAGTAGTGCATTGTAAAGGGCCAGGAGAGGATGATTAAAGTGATGGAGGAGCAAACAAAGACGTTGAAGTCCCTAATCACGCTCCAGGCAGAACACATGCGTGCTTACCCCACCCCACTCCCTGCAGCTGATACAGAACTGCTTTCCATGCCCTCCCCAAACTCCTCCCACACATTCCCTGCAACTTCCTAGAACCATCTCGGTACCCTGTTCACTGCCCCCCTTCAGACAGCTTGCAAAATGATAACTGGACTTACACACAGCTATGAGAGCCTACAGTGCCCTGGACTCTTATCTCCCTTCCCACCAAGCCTCTTGTGTGTGTTAATTGGTATTTAATAAAAACAAATGCTCTGAAAGATAACCAATCTTTATTTGTCTCCTATACATGGCGGTTGCTGCTGGTAGTAATACATAGTGGCAGTTTGATTATTTGCTGATTACAAATCCTGGTCAGGTATCATCACAATTTTCATGCAAGGTGGCAAGTTAACAAAGCATGGCAGAGTGCTATATAGAAGACACACGTTACTGGTGCTCTTTATCAAAATGTTGCCTCAAAGCCTCCCTGATTTGAATAGCCCGCCATTGTGCCCCTCTAATAGCCCTGGTATCTGGCTGTTCAAATCAAGCGCCAGGCTGCACTCTACCCCAGGAGAAACTTTTCATCCTTAGCCTGACAAATATTATGGAGTGGACACCAGGCTGCTATGACCACAGGAATATTTCCCTCATTTAGGTCTAACCTGCCATAAAGGCATCACCAGCGCACTTTTAATCTGCTAAAGTCACATTCCACGGTCATTCTGCACCTGCTCAGCCTGTT